CTTCTCTTCGGAAGCCCCTTGGACTGGCTGATACGGAGACCCCAGGGAAGCCCAGTCTCTTCTGGGCCCGCACATGCTGCTGTGTTCTTCATGTCACTTCCCACAGCTTCAGAGAGACATATTAATGGATGCCTATCTTACACTACATAACGGGCTAGGAAGTGGCACTACAGAGTGAAAAAGGTCCTGATCTCAAATACAATTTAAAAAAAAAGAAAGAAAGATTTGATAATTTGTAAAGAGCCTTTCACTGTAATTAACCGAAGAAATTGTGTACGTTTCATAGCACAGGATCAAACTTGAAGATAATGAATAAAAAGAAATATTTTTGCCTCTGAGACCTAGATGAATTCACCCAGGACTTCAGCCCTATTCCGGTGCAGGAATTTGAAGTGCTGTCTCAAGTTTATTAAATGTTTTGATGATTTAAGTCTCCTAACAGTCCCATGGACTGGATATTGGAGGTGGTGCTGCTATCAAGACTGATTCCTCCCTGCCCCCCAAGTTCTGAGAACTAATTGCTAGCTTGGAATTCTTATAAATTGAATGACTGAGGTTTCTCATTAAGAAGAGAAATATTCTGGGGCACCTGGGTGCCTCAGTTGGTTAAGTGCCCGACTCTTGGTTTTGGCTCAGGTCATGATCTCAGGGTCCTGGGATCGAACCCCCAGGTAGGGCTCCCTGCTCAGTGGGGAGTCTGCTTGTCCCTCTCCCCCCGCTTCTCCCCCTCCTGGTGCTCTCTCTCTCTGTCTCTCTCTTTCTTTACCTCTAAAATAAATAAAGTCTTAAAAAAAAAAAAAAGAAAGAAAAGAAGAGAAATATTCTAAGGAATGGCGTCCTATACTACTCTTTCCTTGACTTTTCCTTTGACTTTCAAAAGGAAGCTAAAACCCTGGGGGAGTTAATGACTGTTTCACCTACTCCAGTTGCTTGGATGATGAATTCCCAGGATATCCTGTACAGAGAGCTAATAAATATAAAACAGAAAAATCACAATCACCCATTGTAGGTAGTACAGGGTCTACTATGCATTTTTGTTTTCATTTTTCCACATTTTTTTAAACAACAGGGTAAAGTTCAATTGAAAGGAAGATCGTCCTGGACATAATTTTTTATTTAGAAGAAACTTCTTTCTCAGAGCTTATTTGGGCATTAATCTATCTTATCTGGTACCTAGGCATTAGGGAATTCCTTGATTACTGAATAGAGTCTTGATTAATAAAATGCACTTACTATCTAACATTTAAGAATCTCTTCACAATGTCTAAATTTCAGATTTCAGAATTCAGCATGAGACCATGTTACTTGAAGCTGGCATTTTGGGAATAGAGATTTCACATATTAATGAGTGAACCCATGTTGGACCCTTAATTCTGCAAACACAATGTGTACCTCTTCTGTGGTGATGTTCATAAAGAAAAGTGACAGAGAAAGCGAATTAAGGAATACCGAATTCTTACATTGAACCGGGCACATTTATATCCTATTTAAGAAAAACCTGACCCAACCTGTAAGGTTGGCATTTCTATCTTTATTTATATCTATGGAAATTGAAGTTTGGACAGATTAAATAACTTGCTCAAGTCATTTAGGTAAGAATGGAGCTGGGGTTGTCTCCTCCCGTGGGCTAACTTCAAAGTGCATAGTATATACATATGTCTTAAACTTACTTCTTAAACTGTCTTTAAATGTAAAGTAGGATCACAATCCATATATACTCTTAATCCTCTCCAGCAAAGCAGAATATGCCATCCTTCTTATTGTGTTTTGCAGCCAAATTTATCATATAAATGACATCTAGTCTTTTTTGACCCTAAAGTTTGCTTGTCTCATCTTTCCTGACCATTGCGATAGTCAAGTCTGTGTTTTCTCAATATCTTTAAAGAACGTCATCGCCTCAAATTATCTGAAATACCCTTCAGCATCTATACAAGCAAACATTTGGACGTTGTATCCTTTTGAATGGCCCCTTAAAACAACAATAAGCAACAAATGTTTATTTAATCAACAAGTTTAAATATATATATATAAATAGATGTCTGTGTTGTATACCTTCTTTTTCTGTCCCTCTTCCTTTTCAGTTTCCGTGGCTTTATAACTTAAGATGTGAAATTCATCCCACATTCTTTCTTTTCCTGAACTAAGAGTAAATCACATCTGTATTCTTTGTACCAAATGTTGGCTGATAGTTAGGGTTAACAGGTATAATACATGACACCCAGTTAATTTTTTTTTTTTGAAAATAGGTTACAATTTATTTATTTAATTATTTTAAAAATATGTGTTTTATTTTTTATTTTTTTATTTAAATTCCAGTTAGTTAACCTGTAGTGTAACATTAGTTTCAGGTGTACAATATAGTGATTTGAGTTTCAGATAAACACCATACTGTTTTTACTATAAGTATGTCCCCTGAAAATGTCGCATACTTATATTGAATAATTTTTTCATATTTACCTGAAATTCAAAGGTAATTTGGTGTCCTATACTTTTAATTGCACAGTCTGGCAACCTTACTAATCATCTGACATTTGTAAAAGTTCCCAATTCGAAGGAAATATATATTTTAATTTTGATTTTTTATACTGTGAGAGTATGTGCCTGCTTCAGATGGCTTTTATTTTCCCCTCACTGATTTCCTTTTAAGATGATCGTTGTCACTTATTAATTGTTACCCCTTTGGCTCATTCTAGGACGATAATGGAGAGAATGAGAGTAATTTTCTCATTATCTGGAGATTTATAGTTAATTAATTATTTATGTTATTTTATTCAGTTTCCAAGCTAGCCCCTTAGGAGATATGATTACACATTATTTCTTCAAGAATTTTTTTTTGTTTTGTTTTAATCATCAAACATTTTCTAAACTGATACTTAAAGACCTCTATCAGTTTTTAATCCTCATTGGAAAATTAAACCTTTGATAGCATTCCCCTTTTACTTTTACTGATCTATTCTGTGCAAAGTTCCTATGTGTGCCATTCCATGTTTGGAAAATAAGTATTGCGGGGGCGCCTGCGTGGCTCAGTCATTAAGCGCCTGCCTTCGGCTCAGGTCATGATCCCAGGGTCCTGGGATCGAGCCCCGCATCGGGCTCCCTGCTCGGCGGGAAGCCTGCTTCTCCCTCTTCCACTCCCCCTGCTTGTGTTCCCTCTCTCTCTATGTCTCTGTCAAATAAATAAATAAAATCTTTAAAAAAAAAAAAGAAAGAAAAGTATTGCAACTGCTCTTTAATTATATTTCTGTCATCTTGTCTGGGAAGTTTTCGAAGTCACAGAATAGTGGAAATTAATTTTTAAACTTTGCACATGGATAACTATTCTTTCTAGGAGTTATATCTTCTTTTAAAATGCTAAAAGAGTCTTTCCTTGAGATATGAAAATTTATACCTTGGAATGTTGTCTCAAATGCCCCGCCAGCACCACAACCACAAAATGAGGGTTTTATCTAAAACCGTTAATTTGCTTTCAAAGACTTATCTCTAAGAATTTTCCACTCACAGAAATAAAATGTCTTACAAAATATCAAAAGAACAAACGTCATAAAGAAATAATTGCTCCGATAGTCTGTCTATATATTATAGGCCTTACAGTCTTTTTAGAAAAAAAAACAAAACCAAACATCAGCAACTACTAAAACCCAGTGAGAGGTCAACAAATGCCAATAGCTTTTAACTTATAAACTGAAGTCTGTAATCTTAGGAATTTACTGCTGCAGAACCTTATAAATTTACCCTTAGAACCATAAGATAGATGAAACCATGTTACAGTCTTTGAAAAAAATCTCTTCCTCTCTGATTCAAGATCAAGGTCTGCATTGCTATTTGATGTGGAGGAGTCATCTGGTGATTTTAGTGTGTTTTCTTATAAAACAACATATTTTTAAGGAATTTAAGTGTTAGCTCTAGTTTTCTAGTGAAAATGTCTTCATTGCTTATTGAATCAATATATTTCCCATTATTCTTCACAATAACCATAGGCAGCTTTGTCTTATAGGTTTAAAATTTATATTTTTATTTGCATTATTTGTATTATTTGCATTATTTCCTATAATTTGTATTAATAAGCTGGTGTAGAGGCCACCATGGAGCAGACATGACGTTCCTACACCAAAATGTTTGATGAAGATTAAGCCAAAAGAAAATAAAGTTATTCCAAAGGGAATGATCTAAAACATTTATGTGAAATTACAAAAGAAAAAAAAAAAGAGATTTTGTCATCATCATTTAATAAATTTTTTTTGCATTTTTAAAAAACAAGGTCATTCTATTTAGCTCAGTTAAATTATGGAAAGACTCTGGGAATCTGGAAAATCACATGTAGTCAATAAATGAAAGTGTAGACAGAATATAATTCAACTGCCTAAGGAAAGTGTTAGAGTGCATGACCTCTTTGGGTAAGTAGGACCCCACATGAAGTCAACTGTAATGAAATGATTTTGAGCAGTTCATGGTTTTAGAGGGAGCCTTAGTTCCAGCGAGGTCAAAAAGTAAGGTACTGTGGATAATCTCTCTAATGAAAGGTTGGTGTTATGTGTAGGGAAATTGCCAAATGCCCCATGAGACCTATGTCTTTAAAGAATTGATGATACATTACAAGAGAGCTCACTCTCCACATTTTCATCCATGTTCTGCTGTTTGTGGAAAGGTAGAACCGAGTATTATGACCTATCCCTCCCTCAAATTCATGTACCTGGAAAACAAGAAAGGAGGAGATGGTCTTTGCTCTTTGATCAGAGAGTGAAAATCCTCAGTCAATCTGAATTTTGCTAAATAAGGTCATCTCAAAAGTGGTCTACAGAGGTACGTTTAGATTCACCCTTCTTGGCCTTTCATTACCTTGAACACTTTTTTTTTTTCCCAATTTTTCTCCTTCATTGTCTGTACTCCTGTTTCAAGTTGTGCCATTTTTTGGATGAATATTTGATGCATAAAAATAGAAATGAAAACCAATGTATGTGTCCACTTGCTTGTACTGACTACTGGATTCCTGTTCTGTCCAGGCACTGAAGGAGCAGTATTCGGGCACTCTGTTGAAACACCTCACATCAGAGCAGAACCTTCCCAAGATCTCAGGTAAGTTCTGGCTCTTCCAGCTCTATCAGACTTTCCATCACTGTTGATTTGCTCTTGATATACAAAGAAGTAAAATAGAAAATGTGTAAAAAGTTGACATTCCCTGCCTACATGGTAAATAGTCAAGTATTTGATTGAGGGCAAGAAAATGTGAGTTATTATTCTCAACTTATATATATATTTGCCCCTAATAAACATACAATGAATATAAAAATAAATATGTCAGGCAGGAAGAGTGTGGAAAAAGCAGTTATAGAGGAAGTTCAGAGGAGGATTGATAAAAACCAGGATTCCAGAAAATCTGACATAGACAATGAAACACATGATACACATAGGCAGAAAGAAAGAGGAAGCAGAGAGTAGGAAAAAAGCTATAAATGGTCAGGGAGTGTTATGTTGAGGGAAATACAAATAGTAATCAGAAAAAGGCAGAGCTTAATTGCACTATGATGGACTCCTCAATCTAATAATTCCAATGGAACAGGCTGCTTCCTGATACTGTGCTGTTTGTAAGAGGCACAGTTGTACATAACAGCCCTCACTATCCAGAAAATCGTGAGACAACTTTATAGGGATTCTTCCCAGGATAATCACAGCAACTGTTAATAAAAGTTGAAATATTAAAATCTAGTAACTGATCAATGGATGTTCTTAACTCACTAAATAACTTAAGGTTTGGGGATCAAAGTTATTTTATATAACTTAATGTAGTAATCATTTCACAATGTATCTGTACATCAAATCATTATATAGCATACCTAAAACTAATAGAACTGTATATGTCAATAAAAAAAGATGTCTTATATAATTACTTTCTGGTAGGTAAATTACATTCCAAAATACATTTCTATGGGATTAAAAAAAGACAACAATAATGATAATAAAAAAATAAATCACATATTAAAAGTCATTTGTAAAGCTGAATCAAAATATCAACCTGGGAGACAGTCTTTGTCTTGGAAAACACAATACAAATATTAAGCAAAACCCAAATTATTTCATAAAGATCAGGTTCAGCCCTTCCCGTTTGGATGAGTGAAAAAAAGATGTTCAAATGAAAATAGAAAAATAAGGTAAAAAAATTTAAATGCAAAAAAAAAAATCCATACTTTCACAACAGTACAGTTTTCAGACCTTTATATAAAGTTCTGTGATAAAATTTCCTAAGGAACTCAGTTTCTCAGTATCTCAGCATTCCAGATCCAAACAGGCTGATTAACAATAACAGAAAAAGGTGGCCATCTTCCTGTGATCAAGGCATTTTTTATTAGACAAAAATAATTTTTTACTCAATGCCAAAACCCCAAGGATTTAGGATGGCGGAAGAGTACGTATAAACAGCATCTCATGGTGTGTTATAGTTTTAACTTATGGCTCTTTTTTCAGTTAGGAATTCGACATTTTTGTGTAATTATTTATCTTATCCCTCCTCATCTAACTAGGTTGTATGTCCCATCAGACCAGGATCTGCATCCTTCCTTGTTTATCTTTAGTGCTATAGCAGTCAACATGTATCTCATATATAATTGTGTCTGATAAATATTTGTTCATTTGAATTGCTGAAATAGCAAAACTGAATAGCGAAGATGTTGAGTGCCTGTAATATAAGAAAAGTCGCAGTTACTGTGTTATTAAGACCCATGTGGCCAACATTAACTTCAGTTGTTTTAGAACTGTGTTTTAGTATAGATGCCAGAGTTTAGTGATTCATTCAACAAAAAGTTATTTAAATTACGCCATTCTAAAAGAAACCTCTTTTTACTTCTAACGTTTCAGGAACTATATACTCATTGTATGATTTTCATTATGAAAATCTATTGCCAAAAGAGAAATAAGAACTGCTGTTTTAATTACCTTGTTGACATGTCTCAAAATTTATAAGTGTGAATGTGAATTAAATTATAATTAGTATATAGTGTTTCTGGTTTTTGTTTTCTAATTATCCATCAATTATTTAAATCTTGCACTAAGCTAAGCTTATCTGCTAGTGCTAAAAGCAAATCAGCAACCCCCAAGATGAGTGTTACTGATCTAAATTCGAAAACTGAAACAGAAGCAAAGCACAGTAATGATGGGGGTGTTCAATTATTTATTTGTGTACATGAAGATTAAAAGCAGAGTGTCTGACAAGATTTTTACAAGTCCTGCTGACAATTTTCCTTTCAGGGCAGTAAGAAGTACTCTTAGTTGACACCTAATTCTAATCAACAAGGTGAGATTGGTTGGCCAGGTAAATCAAATGGTAATTTGGGGAGTAAGTAGCCGTGTTGTCTTTAATTTTGTTTTTGTTGAGAATGAAAGACTTCAGACAGGTCCATTTCAAAAGGTTTATTAAAGAGTATAGGTGGTATTTTGGTGTGGACATGAAGTCCATTTTTACAGTTTTATTCAACCAATGTTTGATGAGTGCTTCATGTGTGCCAAATTCTCCGCTAGTTTCCGTGTGCACTTCAAACCAATACTTGTAGATTTTCTATGCTGTCTTATATAAAGTGACATTGGTTTTTAGTAGGGACCTATGTGTTAAAAAGGTGAGAAAACATGTTGAATAGTCAGTAAGGACATAACAGTATATGTGTCCAGAATAGCCCAAGTATGAACATTTCCCTTTTTTATTTCTTAAATTAACATATAGCTAAATTATTACAGTCCAAAAGAGTTTCTCCATTCTCTGGTGAGGAGTGATGAAGCTCGTTGTATATCGCCCAAAGATTGTTTGGATCTGAGTTTCATTAACTGTTCCAAGGGCGAAAAAAAAAAAAAGAATCCAGAATTGGATTCATTTCAGTAAAATGAATATCAGTTACATATTTAATATGTAACTGGCATCTTTGCATCATGTTCATTCTTGTATGAATATAATTTTAAACTGAAATGTTAAGTTTTACAGGCTCCAAATTAATCTCCGAAAACACATAGATGTCATTTACATCATGGCTGTGTTAAAGGAAAAGCCGCCATGTGTAAGGTGGTAAGGATTTTGCACTGAGTTGTTTTTTCAATGAAAGGCTAAGATAAATTTGCTGAAAAAAAAAAAAAATAAAACAGTATTCTGCTCTTCTCCCCTCCCCTCCCCTTTTCCCTCTCCCTTTTCCCCTTCCTCTCTGCCTTTCTTTCTTCTTCCCTTTTACTCTTCCATGCTATGTATGTATTTACATATTTATTTAGAGTTAATACCAAGTGACCATTATGAGAAGCTTGTCTTAGCGTGTAATCTTGGGAACACAGAGCAACAACTGATCTAGAAATTTGTTTGATCGAATTTGAAGGAAGAGACCATAATGGAAAGCGCAAGTAGGCAGAAAACAGTAAAAACTGAGGCAACAGAAACAATGTGATTTGCAGCTGAAGAAAACTCAGCTTGAAGTGCTAAGACATTAAAATTGCTTGTATATTCAGATCACTGTTTGCATTGTTTTCTTTTTCCCCTAAAACATTTTTCGGTTCACTTTTTCATTCATTCCGTCATTGAAATAAAAAACAGTTCATGAGTGCCCACTACGTGTCTGACACCGTGTTAAATATTTATGAAGAGCGAGGTACATGATGCTTAAGTTCTGCTTAAGTTTCTATGTAGTCATTGCGTCTCGCAACTAACTTACCTTAAAAGGAGTCTGACTTCCTTTCTCAGAATGTTGAGAATTTTTCTAAAGACCTAGGGCACTCATTCCCAAATGGAGATTCGCCTAACACCTTAAAAACAAAATCTTGTTGCATCTTTGGTGTGTAAACACAGTGAAAACAATTTTTTGGAAAAAAACAGGTGATAATGGTGACTCGAGTTCAACATTACTCCTTTTCTCTGCTAGAATCTCTTGGTACCCACTCTAAGAGCTAGTCTGAAATCTGTTGCCATGATTGCTATAATGCTTTCAAAATGAACACAATTGTACTTCATTAATTCCAATGACTAATCACATAGAAATTCACAAGCTTTGCAAATAAACATGGGTTTCATTTTTCTACAGGTCCTTTCAGAGAATGTTTTAAATTTCTAAAATTCTAAATGTCTAAAATTTCTAAATTTAAGTGTTGATCCTATGTTGCCAAGAGTTTGCTTATTAGATAGTTCTAGAAGGGAATACAGGTTTAGTCTAATTTGAGTTCCAGAGTATTCTGGAATGTTCGAGCTCCAGAATGTCTAAGTCCAGGACTTCTATAGAGATTCTGGGCTTATTTGAGAAGTCCAAGGTGTTTAGAAAAAACCAATAGAACCTAAGACTTAGGTAGTAAGATTTATCAATTCTTTTTCTTTATGATTTTAGGGCTTTCCATCTTGTTTCAAAGGTTTTCTTTCTTTCTTTTTTTTTTTTTTTTTGTATTTGGATATCTCCTGTATGTTCTTCTAATTTTCTGTCATTTGTTTTGTACAGTAGGTAATTATTTCTTAGTTTTATGTTTTGTATAAATAAAATGGGATATTATGTTCTGAATTTTCTTCTAATTTTCCATTGAAAATTACAGTCTGTGATTTATTACTTTTTATATTTTGAATAGTTGAAACTGGAAATTATTATTGCAGAGTATGTTAAGTATCTAATGTTAGTGTTTTTAGTATGGAGAGTCAATTTATTAAGAATTATTGATTAAATAACCTACTTTCCACCCAAAATGATTGCTACATTTCTCAGAAACTAATCTCTCATAAATACTTTTGATCTGTTTTAGATTATATTATGTTCCATTGACAAATTTCTAGTTTTAATTCCAATCTCATTTTTAATTAAACTAATTTCAATATTAAGTTCTAATTTTAAAAGGAAAATCTCCCAATTTAACTTCATTTTTAAAATCTATTAAGTGTCACACATACTTTTTTTTTTTTTTAAGATTTTATTTATTCATGAGAGACAGAGAAAGAGAGAGGCAGAGGAAGGGGCAAGTGCCCCTCAGGGCAGGAAGCCTAATGCGAGACTTGATCCCAGGACCACCAGATCACAACCTGAGCCAAAGGCAGACACTTAACCGACTGAGCCACCCAGGTGCCCCTGTACTTTTCT